GTAGGTTTCTGGCCTTTGCTTACTATGTTGCGAATCTGTTGGCTGAAGTCCAGTGGTATTTGTTACAGAGTTTCTGAAACTGCCAGCTCAGAGGCCTGCAGCGGCAGGCGGGGAACGTTGGAGTCCTCCGTCACTGAAGCAAGCAAGCCTCATGTTAGTTTCAAGCCGCCATCTTGGCTGACAGTTAATTTGCATATCTCGCTGATTAGCCAATGAAAAGGGTAGCGGTCGTACGCCAATTACCATGTTTCTCTTTTATTAGTGTAGATTAGATAAAGTAGACTTCAAGTAAAGAAAATCACCAGAGAAAGAAACATTATATAATGGTAGAAAGATCAATCCATCAGGGAAGCATAGCAATCCTAAAAGTTGAATATACCTAGCAACAGAGCTACAAAACATGTGAAGTGAAAACTGATAGAACTGATAAGAGAAATGGATAAATTCATCATTATAGTTGAAGACTTCACCGCCTCTCAACAATTAGTCAGAAAATCAGCAAGAATAGAGAAATTCAATACCACTACCAACCAAAAGATCTAATCGACATTTAAAGAACACTTCACCCAATAACAGCAGAAGACACATTCTTTTCAATTGTCCATGGAACATATATCACAAGACATGCCAATGATTTCTTAACAAATTTCTTAGTTAATATCATAGCATAAAAATCAGAACTTGTTCTTTATATAAAATAATATTTTAAGGTTGATAAAACTTACAGGTATTGATTTTTAATATTGATTTAGCCTATATTTGCTACATAGTGTTTTTTTATTATAGTAAGAACCTTTTGAGAATATTTTCAATGTAAACGTAATGCTATAAACTAAGTTCTAATGTTTTTTTTTAAACCCAAAGCCACCATTTACTATTATTTTATATTTAATAATGTCAAACATATGTTGATGCACAGAAATCAAGTATATGATAGAAGACATATGCTTACCAGATCCCATGAGAGCACAGATCAGAACCATGGAATTATATTTTATTTCAGGAGCACTTCTCTCATCTGCTAACAGTTTGTGTAAAATCTGTACAAGTTTAGCACTTTCTAGATCTTTCTCAGCAGTGTCTAGAACAGGAAATAATTAAAGTAGCAGTTATACCCACTGTTTATGAACCCAGTACAATCTGGGTAAACATTGCTTCCTTTTCTAGAAACTGATCATGTGAAACTTTCCAAAAGGGACTGATAAATAATAATGACCTAGACATATGATATTAAATTCAGACCTTATTAAAAAAAGTAGAGAGAGCTAAATTTCAGCAAATATTTTAAGTTTAAACTAATATTTAGAATTAAAACATTCCTTTTAAATGAAGCAATTAAAAACCTTTCATTAAAAATATACAAAAGCAGAAAAGATAGTATAATGATACCATATGCACTATCATCTTCATAAATTATCATGGTCAATCTTGTTTAATCTATCTCTAGTTTCATCTACCTACTCTCACACATCTCAAATTATTTTGAAGCAAATCTTATAAATTATATAATTTCCTCCATATGTACTTTAGGATGTCTCTCTCTTTAATTGATAAAGAATGTTCATCCCTATTAAAATCCCAGCAGGATTTTCTATAAAAATAGATGAGCTTATACTAAAATTTATATGAAGAGCCACAGGTCCTAGAAGAGGCAAACAATCTTGATTAAAAATAATGAAGTGGGAGAAGTTCTTCTACCTGATATTAAGGCTCACTATATAGTTATCAAGATAGTGGGGTATTTATTGATAGATACATAGATCATAGGAACTGAATATAGGACCCCAGAAATAGACCCACACAAATATGCTCAACTAATCTTTGACAAATGTTCAAATCATTTCAATGGAGTAAAGGGAACATTTTCAACAAATGTTGCTGCAAATTAGACAGCTACAAAGAAAGGAACCCTAACCTAAACCATACTTTATGCGTATATTAACTCAAAGGGGAACACAAATTTAAGTGTAAAATGTAAACTTTTAGAATATATGAAGAATTTTCAAAACGTTAGAAAATAAGCAAAAGACAAATAAGTATTTTACCAAAGAATATATGACTGAAAATAAGGACATGGAAAGATGTACAGCATCATTACATTAAAAAAAAAAAGTAAATTAAAACCACAATGTGATATCTCTTAAAGCTTTCAGAATGGCTAAAATAAAAAAGTAGTGACACCACCAAATGCTGATGAGAATGCAGAGAAAATTAATCACGTACACCAGCGGTTCTCAACCTGTGGGTCACGACCCCTTTGAGGGTCGAAAGACCCTTTCACAGGGGTCGCCTAAGACCAATCGGAAAACACATATATAATTACATATTGTTTTTGTGATTAATCACTATGCTTTAATTATGTTCAATTTATAACAATGAAATTGGGGGTCACCACAACATGAGGAACTCTATTAAAGGGTCGCGGCAGCCCTAGCCAGCTTGGCTCAGTGGATAGAGCGTCAGCCTGCAGACTGAAAGGTCCCAGGTTTGATTCCGGCCAAGGGCACATGCCTGGGTTGCGGGCTCGATCCCCAGTAGGGGGTGTGCAGGCGGCAACCGATCAATGATTCGCTCTCATCATTGATATTTCTATCTCTCTCTCCCTCTCCCTTCCTCTCTGAAATCAATAAAAATAATTAAAAATAAAAAAAGGGTCGCGGCATTAGGAAGGTTGAGAACCACTGACTTATACAGTGGCAGTGTGAGTATAAAATGCCATAGCCACTCTGAAAGACAATTTGACAGTTTCTTTAAAAATTAAACATGTAGTTACCATAGAACCCAGCAATTTCAGTCCTAGGCATTTATTTAGAGAAATGAAAATTTATGTTCACATTAAAACCTATATGTGAATGTTCATAGTAACTTTATTTTTTGAAGCCTCAAACTGGAATCAGCCCACATGTCCTTTAACAGGTGAATGGCTAAACAAACTGTGGAATACTATTTTGCAATAAAAAACTGAGATACAGGACAAATCTGATGACTCTTTAAGAAATTATGCTGAACAAAAGAAGCCAATTCCAAAAGGTCACATACTATATGATTCTACTTACATAATATATTAAAAATGAAAACAGTTAGAAATAAAGGCAGATTAGTGGTTTCCAGGGGTTAGGAGCAGCATGGGAGGTAAGGGTAGGAGGCAGGTGAGTGTAGTTATAAATGAAGAGATCCTTTCGGTCTTAGAACTATTATCTTGACTGTGGTGGTAGATATACAGACCTACACATGCAAAAAAAAAAACCCAACAAAAAACACCTGTATAAAACTTAATACACAGGAGCAGAATAGAAGTCAAGACAGAACCCCGAATGATGTTATAAATATGCAAATGGCCCTTGGCATAAAAAAGGTTCCCCACCCCCACACAGCATTGATAGAAGATTAGCAACAGAAAATTTAGCAGTAGAGATGGAAGAAAAGGTCTGGGTTGCTGTAAAAGTAGCAAACCCTAAACTCGTTGCATTATAAAAATGGTTTCATTTCTCTGAGGCCTGTTAAAAATGAGTTCTATGTTCCCCAATTGCTTATTACTTGAGATAACACTTAAGAATCAAACTAACCTTAAAGCAAAGTGTTGCCAAAAAGCACAACCAAAAGGGACAGCAGTGGTGACAATCTGTAGAATATGATTTTCAATATACTCAGATATACATATAGACAACACACTGGCAAAATGCTTCTAGTTAAGGTTCTGTCTGACTTCTATTCCACTCCTGTGCTTCCTTTCATCCAAGATAAAAATAGGAGAAAATAAGTTTGTCACTAGGGTACTTACCCAATTCTAAAGCTGCTATTAGTGCCAAAGCAACAAGGGCTTCATTCTGCATTATTACATGTTCACTAGTTGCCATGGTAACTAGATGCTTGATGCCACCACTCTGTACAATAGTTTTAATTACATCCTATAATACATAAATATCACAGAATTATAAACTTTAATTTTAAATATAAAGAAGCTGCATTATAATCAGTCAATTCATTGTAAGTTGAGTTTCCTGTATGAATCATTACATTTAATAATATTTTCTTCTATGAAGAAAAAGCTTTTAGCTTTAAATAAATTCATCAATAGATGACATCTTAAACTACCTATGTGAAAAAGATCATTGCAGTTCATATCAAGAAATAGAGTCCCAGAAGCTACCAAAGTCAAATACAAGTGCCATTGACCCAAATGTTGACTTACCATAGGATCAACAAAAGAGAATAAACCCTGTAATAACAAAAATGTTTTTTTCCCTTCAAAATTTTATTATAGCAACTGGTATTGTTCGCCAGATGCTTCAGGTAAAGCATGTATTGGGAGTAGCTTTTATCCTTTGTTGGATCTGACAAAACTGAATTACATACAAAGGGATTCAATAAATCCTACCACCAACACTGGCTTTGAGCAAATAACCGACCCTCTTGGCACCTCAGTGACTTTATCTAGTGTTGAGATCATGTAAGTGTGTATCTCTCAGGTTTCTGTGATAATTATAGTTATTACATGAAAAACACATATAGAATGTATAACAAAAATCAGATGGAAAATGGTCACATTTATTTCTAGTAGCCATTTCTGTTTCCATCTCAGAATTTTATTGCCTAAAAAATCTTGGGTTAAATATAATTTAGTGGGAAGTCTTAATTATATGATATTTTAAAGTAATTTTCTTGGCTATTTTTCACTTTTAGTAATTTGAAGTAAGCTTGATATTTTAAGCAGCCTGTCCGAGCTAGCATCAATGGCACAAAACTAACGGTAATTAGGAATATTTTTCAAATTAATTTGCTGAAATATTTTAAGAAGGGTTTCTATTATGCTTCCATCTATGTAAATTTTTTAAAAAACTATATAGACAGGATGTTTGCTTTGAGATTAACTTGTTTGGAAATTAAACATTCTAAATCAATAGAGTGCAAGTACTGAGTTTTTATGGTTCTTGCATCTAATACATACAGGTCTTTCCCCATCAATTTCTTTTAGAAAGTGAGGAACTCATCTTTTAAAGGCTTTTCTAATTAAAAGAAAGCCTCCCAATATAATGCTTACTTGGTGGCAGTTTATTTGAAACTAATATAGAAATCTTTTTTTTTCTTTCAGATTTTAAAACTGATTTTGAGAGAGAGAGGAAAGAGAGGGAGAGAGAGAGAGATAGAGATATATAAACATTAATGTGAGAGGGAAACATCAATAGGCTGCTCCTGCACCTCCCTATCAGGGATTTGAGTCCACAACCTGGGCATGTGCCCTGACTGGAATCAAATAAGCAACCTTTGGGTGCATGGGACGATGCCCAACCAAATGAGCCACACTGGTCAGGATCAGAAATCTTAAAATCAGTAAAGATTTTTATAAAAATCATAAAGGAGTTTACTGAATAAAGAAGACTACAGAGATGTGTGCATACAAACGCAATCGCGTAGGAAAGATTCCTGGATTGTCATTTCATCCTCTATTTTGTGATTCATCCTGAAAAGTCCACTATAGTAGAAGGATAGAGAATGAATGAAGGAAATTTGTATATAAGAAACAAATAGCCTCTTCTAGGTCTAAGCATGGCTTCTTTTCCACCTAACTTTTCTGGAACAGATATCTATTTTCTTTTAAAATGCCTGCCCTCTCTCCTACTACAATAAGTGCTATTGAATAGCTACTGGATAGAGTTGCTTTGTCTGACAGAATGGTAGATAAAAAAATAAGTTAAGCACTGTACTTAAATGTAACATGACAAAAGAAAATTAATAATATTGATAGCTATCCTTCATAGAGCAACAACTATAAAATTGATATTATATCAGGTAGCTTATGGAAATTAGTTCATTTTTATCCTCACAGAAAATCTCATTAGGTAGATATTACTTGTAGTTTATAGATGAAAAACATGAAGCTCAGATTAAGCTATGAGATTTTCCCAAAAGTCAGTGATGAAGTAGTTAACAAGCCAAGATTCAAATCCAGGTAGTATTCTTAATATTTGTGGTTTTATTCTTAATATTTGTATTCTTAATATTATGTCTTAAATAATATTTATTCTTAATATTATGTCTAGTCTACATAAAAGTTTATATATTGAACTCATCACAGTCAATCTTCCCCTTCTCCTCCTGAGTGACTCCAAGTTAACCTCTAAACATCACCCCTTCTGTGACAGAGTTGGTCTCTCTGCAGATGTACACAGGTGAAATAGTCAAAAGGCTTACCTTAGAAAAGAGGTTATAAAAAAGAAAAGATATATAATCTAGACACTAAATCAGCTGCTGAATGCTGGCCCAGGTTTTCACCATTGTGTTCTTTAAAATATTTACTTGTTAATGATTCACTCAACAAATACTTATAGGTTATCAACCATGAGCCAAACACCTGATAAGCTGGACACTGCCATAAGAATGGATTTTATACAACTCTGTAGTTCTGGGCATCAAATACTATCCAGACATCATTTAATTTCTAAATATCAGTAGCTACCCCAGTCATGCCTAGCACACAGATGTTTGACACTGATGCTGGTAATGGTGGCAGTGGTGGTGGTAAAAATAGTAACAGCAGCAACCTCCATTTACTGAGTGCCTGCTGTGTCCCAGGTACCAACTGAGCATTCTATACGTGATCTCACTGAATCATCATCACAACACTTTCAGGTAGGTAACAGCCCACTTTTTACATAAGATACTTAGATGTGAAAACACTTGACCAAGTAAATATAGCAGATAAATTATGAACTCATTTCTGTTTAACTCCAAAGCCTTACTCTTAACTATTATGAATATAACCAAATAAAAAAGCTCAATTTTCAATTATATTTTTAGAACTCTTGATTAATGTATTTATACATAAATACATAAAGAATGCAAGCTTATGATGTAGGATCTATAATACCAGTTTTACAAAAAGGCCACTCAAATGTTCTTAGTGAATGTTTTCTTCTGGAACTTACTTTTGATTTACTGTGTCGTATGAGGGCAGAGAGCAGTCTGTTTGACTCTCCCATCACACCAGCGTGGTCTTTGGCTTCACACCATTCCACCAAACGTTCCACTAACTTAATATTCTTTCCTAGTTGCTCAGCAGCTTCTGCTATAGGAAAGAAGGCAAACCACAAAGGAATGAATCACTGGTAGGCAATCAACTGAAATAAAAGAGTGTGCAAGAATATTACATGCTTAAAAAACAACACAATTTTATTAAAGCAGGAAGTGCAAATACAGTACTCCATATCTGAAGGACTATTTGGCCTTTCCTATAAAGTTGTGGACTTCAGTACAAAATATAAAAATAAGTAACTTCGTATGCTTCCAGGTCAACCTGGTAGTCTGTTAGTACTCTGTCAAACAATAATAAAGCATTTTTAGGACTCTAAGGAATCAATATAGAGAAAAAATTTATAATAAACATAATTAATTCCAAGTTTTCACTGCTGTTTCTGTACACAGAAAAATGATCTTCCTGTTTGCAAAGCAAACTTTTAAAGAATTTGTTATTATACTGAAACATGATTTTGAAGATGAGGTAAAAATGGGTATGGAATGCTAAAAACAAAAACCCTTAGGAACTGCTAATAAATCAACCTAAAATTAGGATCACATGTACTAATAGAAGCCATATAGTTTCCACTTAAAGCCAATTATGACAAGCATGAGATAATGAATGGGTTCTAAAACCAATCTCTTTTTGTCTTCATTTGCTATTTATCTTTATGATTACATAATTCTGAAAGCTGAAAACAAGTCCTTTTTCAATTAGAGGCACATTGAGATTATGATAGCAAAAATACATCTTGGGAAAGCATTTCTTTTACCTTGTGCATCTATTAACATTCTTAATGTCCCCAGAAGTTTGAACTGAACCGGGGGCATTTCGGATTTAAGGAATTTCAAAACTGCCTCTGTGACCCCAGCTGATAACATCTTTGCTTTATTTACAACTGGAGAGAGGGAAAAAAAGAGACCATGATTAAAGTGATGTTAGCATTCTTGATGATAATCATTCAATTCAATAAATATTTATTGAGGGTTTTATTATCTCTAAGGCCCTATGTTTTATATTTTTTTCTATTTAAAAAAAAATCTTGTATCCTGTTTGTCTATAGGAGAATAATATACAAAATCAAACCTAACCTCAAAACAATTACCTAAATAGTCTGTAATGGAAACCTGATAATGTTGCCTTCTATTTATAAAAAGCACAATTCCTCAACTTTGCTTCTTTTTACCTCTGTTCTTGACCAGCTGTGTTAATATAGATGTCATAGTCATTAATAAACATCATCTGCTATATGAAACAAACTAATTTCATATAGATTATATCTTCATAGTTATATTATTTTACCTAACTAGAAATTTATTTTTAGAAACTAAAATAAAAGAACATTTTAAATCATCTCCTGTATTATTTCCAATGATAATGTGTTTCCATGGCTTAAGTCTTTAATCCAAAAGGACATATTAGGGCTATTTTTTAAAAATATATTTTATTGATTTTTTACAGAGAAGAAGGGAGAGGGATAGAGAGTGAGAAACATCGATGAGAGAGAAACATCGATCAGCTGCCTCCTGCACACCCCCCACTGGGATGTGCCCACAACCAAGGTACATGCCCTTGATCAGAATCGAACCTGGGGACCCTTCAGTCCACAGGCTGACGCTCTATCCACTGATCCTAATCGGTTAGGACACATTAGGGCTATTTTTAAAAAATTGTATGCTTGCGGGAAAATACAAACTTTTAAAGTCATTTTTTAGGGGACTCTGTTAATTGACGCCATTATCTTACCTAAACTGAAGATGCTTTAAAAAGTGTAACTATACAATATAATGAAAATCTTAGGAGTTCACAGAAGGTAATAGAATTATTTGAATGATCTAAACAAAGGCAAAATTACAGTCTCAGAAAACTAATTTATCTTCATGTATCAGTAAAAAAAATGTAAACAATTTGAAGATTTTTTTCCTTGGTCAGGGCAGATCTACAAATCACATAAAGTAAAAGTATTACCAAAACAATAGATTTCATTTCTTACATCGTTGCCTTCCATCCTTCAGTCTTACCTGGAATGGCCAAGTTTCTGAGGGCACTTAGTGCTGCATGCTGTACTGTTACATTTCCATCTTCTACATGTCTGTCCAGTAAATCCGTAAGTTTCTCTACAATTCCATTGTCTACCATATGGATACAATTTCCATCTGAAGAAAAATAAAGCATTTTTTTCTTCCTCTGCACAAACATCTATAAATATTTTGTAATGCCGATGCCTACTTGTTATCTACATTAGTGAAAATGGAACCACAGGAAAATCTAACTCTCCCTCAGATTTATAATTTTTTTTTAACTGAGAAGTCTGATTAAAAGATTCTTAAAATAGAATTATTAAAATAAGAAAACTCTCTAGCTTAAACATATCAGAAGATAAGGAGAAACCACATGCTTAAAATGTCCACCAATAGTGAAGCATGCCTGAGTTTTGCCAATGTGACTGAGACAGTATTCTATATTTTGTTATCATTGCTGTTACTTAAATTATTTTTCATTGATAGAATTTTTGAAACATTTATAAAACAGAAAGAATATTAAAATAAACCACTATTTATACCCCATATTTAGCTTCAACAATTATTAATCTTTTGCCAGTCTTATTTCCATCATTAAGGAGTTAATGATGGTTCCCCAAAAGAAGGAAATGAAAATGGAATAAGTCATCCACTATAATATAACAACAGTTCATTCTGCAGTAAAATCAAACTAAACACAAAAGTAACTCATATTCCTAGACTAGACTTCAAAAATAAATATGCAAGTCTGGTGCCTCTGAAATATTAAGCTAAATTATTCTACCCTAAATCAGAGAATTAGCCACACAAGTTTTATAGATATAAAAGTATAAATTGAGGTACAATAACCCTACAATGAAAATTCAGATTATTAAATCCAAAATAAAGTCACCAGGCAAGAGAGACTATCCTTCTAAATCAGATGTGAAACAGAATGGGACTCAAGTTTATCAACCTCTGAAGTGTAGAGTATTCTAAAGGACTTCATGATCAATATTCATGATCTTTCTTTCTTAAAAAAAACAAGCAGAACTTTTAAAAATTGATTTTTAGAGAGAGGAAGGGAAAGGGAGAGAGAGGAACATGGAAGTGAGAGCGGAACATATATCATCTGCCTCCTGCATACCCCCTATCAGGGATGGAGGCTGCAACCCTGGCATGTGCCCTGACAGGGAATTGAACCGGCAACATTTTTGTGCATAGGATGATGCCCAACCAACTGAACCACGCCGGCAGGGCTGTTCAAGATCTTTAAACTACTAGAACTTAGTTTAATTCCATAAAATATATAATTTGTTAGAAAGTCACTATAAATATTGCATATCTCTGAAAAAATAAGGTAGCGGTACACATACATACTACGTGTAATTCTAAACTGTTTGGTTTTAGTACATGAAATGTCAAAGAAAATTTTTAAAAAATGCAGCAACATGCTTACCATTTCTGGCAAAATTTGCAATCGCCAACGCTCCAGCAAGCTGCAGCTGGTGGTTATTTGATGGAATCCAGGACAACACCCTTTGAAACACATTACCTTTTCCTCCTTCAAATAATTTCTGCATGGATTCATCTGGAGGTAAATGAAACAAACAGGTAAGAGGAAAATAAATATGAGTAACAAATCCATATTTCTAAGTAAATAGCCAATGGGGAAACTATACACTTCAAAAATGATAGAATTAATAAGGGGAAAAGTAATGATTCTTTTTACAGTAAGAATCATTTTAGTAGAGACTGGACAAGAAACTTTAGAGTTCTTCTAGTCTAAGTCCCAAGTAACTATCTGGCTTTTAGCCCTTTGGTGCTACAGCTGTCTCTTCTATATGACAGCTCTTTAAATAGTGAAAGACAGTGAAGCCCAGCTGGCAAGGCTCAGTGGTTGAGCGTTGACCTATGAACCAGGAGGTCATGGTTCAATTCCTGATCAGGACACATGCCTGGGTTGCGGGCTCGATC